GGGGGGGGGGAGGAAGGAAAAGGTGGACGCAAGCTCCAAGAGTCAGGCATGGAAAGGGCTCATTTTCTCTCCCGTTTTTTTGCTCCCCGGTGTGGGATCGTGGAGGATCCGGTGACAGGATCGGCACATTGCTGCCTGGCTCCGTATTGGGCGGGAGAGCTGGGGAAAAGGGATTTAGTGGGGTACCAGGCGTCCAAGCGAGGGGGTATGGTGAGAGTTAGATACGACGAGGGGGCGTCGAGGGTGTGTTTGTGGGGTCAAGCCGTGTTGGTGAAGTCAGGGTGGTTGCACGTGTGAGAGAAAGGAACCTTTGGGGGTGATGCCGGGGCGCCGGAGTGAGTGAGGGCTTGACAAACTTCAGGAAAATTTTGGAATTAGTAACTATACTGAAATTTTCTTTTTGCTGTCGGGTACACGAGTTTTTCTTTCATTTCCGCCTCTATCCGTGTTTGTCGTCACGCGAGGCGCTGATATTTACTCAAAATCTTTTCAGTCAACATTGGCTAGCTTGCACCCATGCCTGAATAGTGTAAAGCACGAGTTATTCCTTGTAACAGCAACGAGGGGGCTTATCAATCCCATGTGCCCAAGCAAGCTTCACATTCGATCTTTAATCCTCGTCTGCTGTCAGTCCTTGCGAAGCTCCGAGACCATGCTGTCTACGACAAGAAAGGTCGCGACACGCGACATAACCACACACATGCGGGTCGCATACGCCCTCCAAGCACTCAGCCATGAATGCGCCAGACATTCGTTCCTTCTCCGCCCCTGGATGTATCGACTGTCGTGCCTATACCGTATTGTTGGGTCCTTGCTCCCAGGGTGTGAGGGAGCGCGTCGCTAAAGCGATTCGAGCGAGGGCTCTCGAGCAGGTGACCACATCGAACTCGTCCTGACAGCCCACGCAGGACGGCGTCCGCAAGGGCCATGTCGTGTGTAGCGTGTAAGATGGGGGGAATGCGCACAGTGCGATGGTCAGCCTGGGCGTTGCTGTTCTTTTGCCACGTTGTGGTGTGGAGTGGAAGGGGGAAGGGAGACAGGAACTCGTGCATGGCAATGGGCGTCGCCAGCTCTGAGTTTACACACTTGACCCCATTAAGCCAAAACTTACCGATGACACGGTGTGGATGACTATCATTTTCATCTTTCTTTGACAAATGCCTCATGCTTCCAATGATCCGCGCGGACATGCTTTTTCGGGGGCGAGAGGACGTGCTTCTTCTCCTCAGTGACCCACTTTCTCACGCCCCTGTCCTCCGGCCTTCCTTTCCCTCTTTTTCCTGCCCTTATAGTTAATGCCCGACCACAGCAGCTCCAGCCTGATGCTGGGCCCAGGAATGGCACCACCCCGCCTCGAAGGGAGTGCCACGGATGGGTCCTTGACCGTCTCGAACGTGATGAAGGAGATTCAGGTCTTGAAAGACAAGTTCAAGAACGACGACGAGGACCATTGTAAGTAGCCGTGAAGCATCCTTCATCGAGTCATGTCATAGGAAAGCTACGAAAGAAAGTGAAAGGGCGGATGGAAGGTGGCCCCAGTGCACGGTACCGATCACTGAGGCCAGACGAACAGTGGGAATTCGTGCGGGAGACGCCTGACATACGGGTTACGACCGGGGGTCCTCGTCATACCAGGCCTCTTTGTGTATGTGCGCCTGCTTGTCATGCAACCTCGTTATCGATTTTCTAGCGATACCGGGGGCGCTCGGGTTTCCTTTCATGCGAGTGTCTGGCCTCCGCCTTTTTAATCCTCCCACTTCCCTTTCTTCCCCCTTCTCCCTCCGGCCCTGCCCGCAGTTTCCCCTTATCAAGATTTGGAGAAGGCGAGCGTGCTCCAGGAATGCCGCGTCTTCCACGACGCCAACATCGTCACCCAGGATCCCCGCCTTTGTTGCCAGCTCATCACCAAGCTGCTGCATATCCTCAGTCAGGTGAGCGCGGGGGGAGGAGAGGGGCCAGGGGAGGTCGAGGGAGGAGGGTTGGATTGAAGGGAGGGAAGGCTGCGTGCTTCCCTGTAGGTGGTAGCCTGCGACAGGCACATGGATGACAGGCGTCAGGGCCGATGAAGCGCGAGAGGTATGGGTTGAACGCCTTCCCCTTCTTTCCTCCTTCACTCCCTCCCTCCCTCCCTCCCTCTCCCGCCCAGGGCGAGCAACTCACCTCGGTGGAAACTACGACGGTGTTCTTCGGCGTGACGAAGCTTTTCCAGTCCCACAACTCCAACCTCCGACGGATGATGTACTTGTTTATCAAAGAGATGGCCGAGGCCTGTAACCCGGATGACGTCATCATCGTCACCTCCTCCCTCACCAAGGTATTATCGGCGAAGCAAGAAGGAAGAAGTCAAAGAGGGGGAAGCGTGGAGGGGAAATAAATGCTTTCTTGCCTGTGACGTGACGGCAGGGAGGAAGGGCGGTGGCAAGCGCCTACGTCCTTCCTGGGTCCCGGAGGGAGAGTGAGGCCTTTTCCATCACATCCTCGCCGAGAAGGATGACGCGGGAGTTCTCTTCCCCCTTTGGCGCTGCAGGGTTGACGACTTTGGTTGATTTGAGGAAGGAGGAGGATGATGGAACAGGCCCTTCCCGTCATTGACGTCGTCCGTGGGAGGCAGCGGCCTTCCCTCCCTGCCCTGTGCCCCGTCCTCCTCCTCCCTCGACTCCTCCCCGCCCTCGCCCTGCATGGCGGTCTTCACCGCAAAAAGCTCTGTGTTGTGCACCAACATGTCCAAGTACTCGAGCTCGTTCGCATGCAGCACGTGCATGGAGTTGTAGACGAGGAGGGAGGAGAGGAGACTGGCGGCGGCGAAGACTTGGGCGTCGTACCGTTCTGTCACATTGCTGACGCTGAAGCCCTCCGTATCCAGGAACAGCACGTCCACGCGCTGGGAACCTCTTCCTTTGGCGTCCGCCCCTTCGCCCCCGGGCCCCGAGGGTCGAGGCACGAGGACGGGGCGGTGGTAGACCCAAACCCCGCTCGTCTGGGGCCGTACGTCTCGCGCCACGGGGAACAACTCGCCCACTACAGGGACGGCCGCGTGCACTCCATCCATTGGCTCCCAAGGACTGTCCCTGAGATCAGGGCCCCGGGGGGCTTTCAGCCCTTGTGCCTCCTCCTCCTCCTCCTCCTCCTCCTCCTCCTCCCCCTCCTCAGCGCCTCCTCCCACGCCCCTCCCTGCAGACAAAGAGCGCACTACCTGATTAAGCAAGAAGCTCTTTCCCGTATGGTACGGTCCGACGATTGCCAAGACGGCCACGGGCCCCTCCAATTTTTCAATGTACCGCAGCGTCTCTTCAACTACGCTGAGAGAGGTCCGGTTGTGGACGTCATTGGGGCGCAAAAGTTGTAATGCCCCCCCGGAATAAGTCTCGTTGACAGGACAGGACAGCAAAAGGTGCGAGAGATTCCAGAAAACGAGCATGAATAGCACGGTAGACGTGCCAGACAGCATCGGAGAGTGCTGTCGCATGGTTGTAGTCGATGAAGCCTCAAATGGAGGGAGGAAGAGATGCGCGCAATCCGAGGGGATACAACGACAGAGCTGGTCACCAATAAACACTTGACCACATTGAATGCGGCTGAGGCCTGCGTGAGAGAAAATGGAAAAGATAAGGGCACCAACACAGGACAAGAGGGCATGATGGGGGGGATGATAGTTTGTTCCCCCTCTCTCGAGGTCAACTTGCTCGCTGAGAGGGTCGAGTCCCCCCTCCCTCTGAGCTGTCTGGCCAGCGTCTAATGTTCTACCCATATTCCTCCCGGCATAAAGACAACATGGAAGCCTATCATGCCGTCAGGAGGGTGACGGCCGCGGACGTGGGGCAAGCGCACGACCTGGAGACGATTTCTTATCCGGAGGTAAGCAGCCCCTCACCGAACATCTTTGCCTGCCGACTGAGGACGCAGTATCGACATTTTTTTGGTCCTTGAAAAGGAAAAATTCGAGCGTGATTGTCCGCGAATGCGCCTCTTAAGCTTGGTATGGCAGGGGTCGCTCGATCATCGCGTGCCACGTCCATCTAAGAAGGTCTAACCTCCCCTCATCGGCCCCTCCCTTAGGACGAAGCAGCGTCTTTGGCAGGCATGCACTACCGTCAGACACACGCCGGTGACTTTTTCTACGGTCTTTATCACACGGGCACGGGGCAGCTCTTGGCGCTCATCAACGGCACGCTCTGCCGAGGCACGACCTTGGAGCACGACACCATGTCCCACCACGACACCCAGGGGAAAACGCTGTGCATCCATTCCGTCGTGGTCCGACCTCCTCTCCGCCGTCGGGGGCTGGCCACCGCTTTTCTCCAAACTTACGTCCACCTCATCCTGGACGCATACCCTGACCGGGTCCTGCGGCTTCGCCTCATCACCAAAGCGCAGAACCTGGGCCTGTACCATCGGTGCGGTTTCCGTTTCCTCCGTCCCTCCCCCGTTGTGCACGGACAGGAAAAATGGTTCGAAATGGGCCTGGATCGATTGAGCCTGGTGGCCAGTGAAGGAGAGTTGGGAAAGGGACTCGGGCGGGCTTTTGTGCACGTGGACGCGTTCACTGGAATGGCTTTTCGGGGTAATCCGGCGGCGGTGGTTTTCTGCCACGGTGAGGGATGTCCGCGTCCGAAAATGGCCGAGCACAGCCTTGTACACAATTCTTTGCTCTGGAGTGACGCGTTTCGGGTTTTCCCCGCGACGCTTCGCTCGTGTTGGTTTTATCCCTGACTGCGTGCGCGTGTCCCCCCCCTCCCTCCTCATCACACCCACATCCTTCCCTCCTCATCACAAATTAGGCGACGAGACACCTGAGTGGATGCAACACTGGGCCCGCGAAATCAATCTGAGCGAGACTGCCTTCGTCTCGC